GGTGCTGGGGTTACAGCCACACTTGGCTTTTACATGGGTGCTGAGATCCTAGCCCAGGTCCTCATGTGTGTACAGCAAGTATTACCTTCTGAGTATCTCCCCAGACCCTTTCTCAGAACATTTTCACCTGCTACCTCTCTTTTCCACATGTGGGCCATTGCTCTTGATGTCCCCATTCCCCCAGAAGTCGGGGGAGGGGGAGGACAGAGAGAATGAACTCCTAGGAGGACCCAGCAACACAGTGAGACTGGCCGCCTTTAACCAAGTCTGCGGGCAGGAGAGACTTTTTATCCCCTGCAAGTTAATGCAAGCTGTTAGGGAGATAAATAAATGACAGAGCTGCCGATGGACTGTTGGGCTCAAAGCAGGAACATTTGTCTCACTTTAGAAGAAGGACCTGGAGGGCTCAGTCCCATCGACTCCTTCATTGTGCTGTTATCTGCCAGAGAGGTGGTGACACGGCTGCAATTAAGACAAACTTTAGTCTCTAAGTTCCCGCTTGCAATCTTGGGGCTTCAAAACAAGACAAATGATCCCGCCAAGGGAGGAAACAAAGTCTTTTCCAGACTGTGTCCAAAGTCACAGTGAATATTTGTAGTTGTTCAGCAGAAAATTTGTCATTATGGGGCTTGGCTCTGCTGGCTTCCACATCTTCAATGCCCTCCGTGCTTTGTGATGGCCCAGGTCATCTGCGGGACCTCGCTTGGCCTTCCCAAGTGGCTTTATCCCTTGCCAGTCCCCAACTTCTCCTGCCAGCCTGCCGGTTTGCAAGCTTCCCTAGTATAGCAAAGATGTAATATTTGCCAAGGCAGGGCTGATAAAGTCAGTGCCTCTGCAGCCCAGTAATGCCAAGGAAGGCACTGGTTTTGTCCCCTATCCTACACTCTAGTACTTAGGCACTCACCCACGAGGATTACTTAGGGCCTGCATCCTAAGATGTTGGCTGCTTCTGCTTGCCAGGCCTCCCTTATCCCACCATCACAGCAATCATTCTCTGCCACAGTGCCTGGCCCTGACACTGGCCTCTGTCACCCTCCTGCATGGCCCCCCACCTTTGGATGTTATTTTCTAGCTGCATGGACTGAAACTCTCTGATTCCCTCAATGTGGACTTGGTCCAGGACCAGTCTCAGGGGCCAACCTGACCCAAAGAATGAAATCAGGGCCCTGTGTAAGCTGCTGTGAGTTCACAGCGCTCCCGTTCCCATTACTTAGTCCTTGGGACGGGGTCTTTGTTCTTTCTCCTCACAACCTCCTTCCCTGACCTTCTTCCCCACTCCAACTTGTATGTTAGGGGCTGCACAATAGCATATGGTCATGAACTCTGAGGTTAAGGGCCCTGTGAGTCCCCAAACTGAACTCTCTCTCTCTCTCTCTCTCTCTCTCTCTCTCTCTGTGTGTGTGTGTGTGTGTGTGTGTGAGTGAGGGTGCATGCAGGCATGTGTCTGTGGATGGGCGTATGCAGGTATGTGCATATAGATGGGTGCGTGCAGGTGGGCGCTTGTTATTATTCTGGGCTGGGGATGCCCACAGGGGACCATGGTTCAAGCCAGAAGAACTTGTTCAGGAGGCCTGAGAAGACTGCCAAGACTCAAAAGCCCCACCACTTCACGACAAACGGAAACTGAAGGCCAGAGGGTCTGTGTGAGGCTGGTCTCTGAGTCTGGCTCAGAGGTGGTACCTCTTCATGTTGCCATGGGAGTCACAACACGACATTCTTGATGAGCTGCTCAAAGAGCAGACCCCAGGCTCCACCGAGATCCCAGGCTCATAAGAGCACACTGTCTTTGCACTTCACAGTTTAGGGGCCTTTGTTTTGGCATGTGAGGTACATGTGCTGGAGCTCGGTTTGGAACCCTAGCTAAGAGTGAGTGCCAGACAGTAATTTTCTATTTACTTGTTGGTGACCTTGGGCAAGTCATTTTGCTTCCATGGTTTTGCTTCTCCATCTGTGAAATGGGCAGAAGAGTAACACCACTGTCTCTCTCAGGGAGTGTGGAGGAAATTAACATACTGAGTTCAAAGAACACAACCTGGTTTGCAACGACTACTCTCTCCCCACACTTCTGCTGAGATGGAAGACAGATATAGCTCATTTTGTAGAGTGTTTGCTTGCCTAGCATGCCTGAGGCTCTGGGTTCAATTCCCAACACTATAGAAAAATGGGTATGATGGTACATGTAGTAATTCTCAACATTCTGGATGTATTCCCAGTTTAGAGGCAGAAGTTCGAGGTCATCTTTAGCTACATGTTGATTTGGAGGCCAATATGGACTATATGAAACCCTATTCAACCCTCTACCACCAACTGTCAACAACAAAACCAATAATAGCCCCCACTCACTTCTGCTGAACTGGGATTGGGGGACAATGGTTGCTGATGCATCTTGTAAGAACAAGGCTGATTGCTAGCTAGTTCTGGTTTTGGGGTGGTCAGGATCAAGATGCCTCTCTTACAGAGCTCCTCTCATTAGGAAAGCTACCTTACACATTGTTCGCAGAACTTGTCCTGGGCACTGGTCCTAGGGTGCATGGTCTTTAAGGCTCGGGTCTCACTAAATTCTATGGCTGCATCAGGCCCCGAGTGATGGCAGGAGCTTGGTGAGATGAACCCTGAGGTCTGGGCCAGCTGTAGGCTGGCACGCTGAAGTATCACTAAAATCATACAGCCTCTCCCTGGAAGGGCAATAAAGCCTCGCTCAAGGTCCCATCCATGGAGCACTGGACAGGGCACTGGTTGTGAGTGACAATTCCACCATGGTGGTCATTTGGCCAACAATGTTTATCAGGAGCCTCCTCAGCTAAGGTTGTTTTTCTAGGTCTGTGGAAAGCAGGCCAGAGCCTCTGGCTGGTGAAACTTCCATTTTAATGGAGAATGGGAAGGTGTAAGTAAACAATGGGTTTATCATGGTTGCCAAGAAGGGGTACCAAGTCCTGGGAGCACGTGCACTTGGAGGACAGAAGTTGACACCAGGTGTCTTCCTCAGCCCCTTCCCATTTTATCTACCAAGACAGGATCTCTTGATATGTCCTGTGTGTTTCAGTGGTGTGGGTAGTAAGTCTTTCTGGGAAGCCGTCTGCGTGAAGACCTGTAAGGTGAAATGGGTCATATGTAGACAATGGTGAGAGAGATTACCAGGCAGGCCAAACAAAGGTCTGCAGGAGTTGTCACATACTGATAGTAACATGAAAGCCCGAACAGATGTCTAAGCCCAGCTCATTTAATATTCATTGCACTGAATTTGAGGCTCAGGGTCCTCCCACCACTCTTCAAACTCTCCCCCACCCTTTTGTAGTTGTCTGTTTTCCTTTGTCAGGAGGATGGAGATGGGTAGGGCCTGAAGCTGAAGTTTCTTGGCCATCTTCCCATTATTGAGAAGACCTAATCAATCACACAGCTCCCTATTAAACAGGGGTTTTCTGGGAGATGTAGTCTTCCCAGCTCCAGCTCCATGTAATGGAGGGAGTGTGGGAGTGTGAACACTTAGTGGCTTTTGCTTTGGACCTGAGGTGGCTGCAAAAGAAACAAAACTGGAGGCAACAGGAATTGGAGTCACGGATGACGTCACAGGCATGTGTGCATCTGTGGCTTCTCCCCCTCCCATTCTCCCTTATCCTTGTATACCTGTGGTGTGCATGCACACATGCTCGTTACCCGTATGTGGGTCATGCCTGTGTGTGCATGTGCATTTGGAGGTCAGAAGTCGGCATCAGGTATCTTCTCTGATAGCAATTCACTTTATTTACCAAGGCAGGATGTCTTGATGGTCCTACCGATCGGGCCAGTCCAGTTAGCCAGCTTGATCAGGGGATCCTATTCCTTGAGGCCTGGGATTACAGGCAGGCTGCTACACTTACCTTGCTTTTATATGGGTTCCGGGGGTCCAGACTCTGGTCCTCATGCTGGGAGGCCAGCGCTTCATTCGCTGAGCCACCTTTCCATCCACTCCCTTCCCTTGTTTTTTTGTTTGTTTGTTTGAGATATAGTCTCTTATGGCCCAGGCTGATTTTAAACAGAGAATGACTGTGAATTCCTGATCCTCCTACCTCTAGCTCCTGAACGTTGCAGGCATATGCCTGCCCTTTGGCTTGCTCTAAGTGGCTTGAGAAACTTTGAAGGTCAGGATCAACTCTGCATGGTGTTAGCTGCTATGAAGGGCTGCCTTCAGCAGAGGTGGGATTGGAGCTTGGTAGGTAAGAGGCATGCTGACTATCCCCCCATCCCAGGCATTACCAAAAGGAGAGAAAAAGCCCTCAGACATGGATGGAGTAGAGGACAGGAGGCATGAGAGAGTGGACCACTAAGCCTAGCTCCCGCTGCACACTCCTTGGGCACTGTCACTGAAAGGACACAGCAGTGCACAGAAGGCCATGGATGGGATTGGAGTTTGTGTCTCGGCAAGCGGGGTTGTCTCTTAGACCAGGTGGCAACTGGCTTCTCAGGGCTTCCTTGAATCCTCTGCATAAGGGGTACAGCCACACTTCCTCTAGGTGGCTGCAGGATTCCCTCAAGTGGTCACAGGCAGTGAGAGGGACTGGTGGCTGGTGTGAGGAAGGGTTCTGAAGGCCTCTAAATTCTTGCACCTCACTCTTGGTGTCCAGTTTCCTCCCCCTGGCCCCTGGCCACACCAGTGTTGGTGTTGCTTTGCTGCTGGGCCTGTGGCCCGCTCCAGACCAGGAGAGGACTACATTATAACCCAAAGCTTGGGTCTGGACCTGGCCTCAGTACACCTTGCTGTGGGACTTGGTGCAGGCACCTCTGAGCACTGATTTCTCATGTGACAACTGAGTTGGGGCATGCGCCTCAACACAGGAAATGCACAGGACCTTGCAGGTGTCCCTGACAAATGGGGATGTGTATGACAGACTTGTCAAAACAAACCCATTCCAAAGCAATAACAATAACACTTTTACTCTCACCAGTGCTGCCAATGGGGCCTGACCCTTTACAATGAACAGCAGGGAAGGTACCATTCTCAAAACTGCATCACCCTCCCCCCACACCCTCTGTACCATCTCCACCTGCCACATTCATTACCACCCTCTAACCCCCAGATTCAGGGTTCAGCAGAGGCTCTCTCTCGATCGAGGGCTCCCTAGGTAGGGTAGGAGGTGAAAGCAGGAGGCTGGGCCCAGGGCAGCTCTTCCCAATCAGGCAGCAGATGGAGAGGGGTCATGGCTTGTTGTGTCCTTGGTGACTGGTCCTGGGTAGTCAGTGTCCTGCTGAGGCCTCATGGGGGGCCCTGCTGGCTCCGCCTCTCCTCTAGTGCTCTGCACACCCACATGGACACCACAGTGGAGTTTCCATCATTGAACTGCATGATGAACGGATGGCCCTGTGGGTTAGAACAGTAGGTGTGACAGCAGTCTCCAAGCTAGGTGCCTGGTGCTGAGGATGTAGCTCAGCTGATAGAGTACTTGCCTAGATTAATGCAAAGCCCTGGGTTTGATCTCAAGCACCATATAAACCAGGTATGTTGGTATGTGGCTGTAAACCCAGAACCTGAGAGGCAGAGGTAAGAGGGTCAGAAGTTGAAGATCATCCACAGCTAGGTCTTGTTATAAAAAGATAGAGGAACAAACAGATCAAACAAAAAGACATCTAGGCATCTTAGTACGTATTCCAAGGTGTGTTCTAGCCTGGACCTGATTTCTTTCTTTTCAGTAACCCTTCATGGTAGGAAAAGCAGACTAGAATCTTGAGATGTCTCAGCAGGTAGCAGTGCTTGATGGCAGCCTGGAAGACTCCTTGATCTCTGGGACCCACATGGTGTTAGTGGAGAACTGAGTCGGGAAGCTGTCCTCTGATCTACACAGAGGAAGCCAAGCATCTGAGACCTGCCCTAGGAAGCTTAAAGGCACAGTCTGTCTGACTGCTCCTTTCCCAGCTCAGTTTCATGCCAGAGCCACTAGGCCAAGGCCTGGCCCCTGGGCGGCCAGCTTTCCGGTCCAGTTGCTGCCCAGAGAGCAAAGGATCATCTTGTCAGAGGTGTTGTCAATCCCTATTAGTTTCCTCCTTTGTCTCCTGCCCCACCCCTGTAAGTGACTCAGTCTGCAGACAGCAAGCTCCAGGGGGAGGTGGCTGGCAAGAGGAGGGCTGAGGAGTGGCCGTGGTGGTTCAAGGCAGAGGGCTGCACTTCAGAGGGCCCAGCTTTGTTTCCATGTGCTCCTTCTCCTGTTCTAACCTACTTAAGCCCATAGCCAGGCCAGGCTATATTTAGCTGGCATCCTCCCCTCTGTTCTGATACACTAAGATCAACGTCCCCAATCTCAGGCTGTCTGGGGGCTTCCAGGGAGGACAAGCCACAGGGCTGTGAGAGCCACATTGGGGACGAGACTGGAAAGCACTATCCCATTCACCAAGTAGCTTCCTTGACCAAAGACCTTCAGCAGAAGCTTTGTAGCCTCCCTGGAAAACAGGCGCTGGGAAGTTATAGTAAGTGAGCAGGGAGATGAGGGGCCCTGATGCTCACCCTCAAGCCCCTGCTTCTTTTCCCTTCCAGCTGCCTCTTTCTTGCACCCTGGCTTTTCTGAGCCTCTCTCTGACTGTCTCTGTTGATTCATAAGGCTTTGAGCTACTTTTCCAGTGTACCTGTGTGTGGTCCTGGGAATGTGCTAGGCACCTTAGTGCCAGCAACATCTCAACACATCTTCTGCCCCATGGCTATGTGGGTCTACAGTGTCGTGGCCCCCAGCATCTACCAGGATCTGCAGAGGAGCAGGTGGAGCTTGGGGAATGGGAAGAAATAAACACTACCCAGGCCTCTCCAAACTGGCTGATGGGGGGTGGGGGGGAAGGAACGGTCTTTGGAGCTTGTGTTGAGGACTCAGAGCTATGCCTAAAACCTAGCTGGGTACCCTGTTATTTCTCAAGGAACACTGTGGGGGGTTTTCAGACATGACTATAGGACCCCAAGAAAGAAGCCAGGCTGGTGGGGGACTGTGGGTGGCACATGCTTGGGTGGGGTGAGATGAGAGACCCTCCATTTTGGCTTCCATATGCTTTCCTGCCCAGCCTCTGCCTGCTTTCGTGATGGCTTCCTAGATAGAGGACATCCTTCTTGAATTCCCGTGCATGTTCTTTTCTGGACTTGGGAGAGGCGACCTTGTACCCTTCTGAAGAACAAAGACAGAAGCTGTGCTCAGGAGGATGGGCCCCTCCCCCCCAAGCCCAGGGTAACACAGTGTCACTTTCCCAGAATGCCGGGTGACTTTGGGGCCATATGCTCCATCACGGTTATCATCTGTCTGAGAACAGGCAGAGTGGAACCGCAGGAGGGGAGTGGAAGCATCCCTCCTCAGTCCAGCAAGGGCTGACGGCTGCATGGCCGGCAGCATCACCCGGCTGCCCTGTGAGAGTTGGGAAGTAGAGGGACCACCAAGTTGCTGGCCTCCTGGTTCTGTGCAGGCACCTGCCCTTTCCTGACCCTGCCTGGGAGCTGACTTCCATCTCTTGTGTACCACTGATGAGGCGTGCCCTCCCCTGGGTTCTTATATCACCTCACAAGAAAGAGAGCTTGACAACAGGTTTTGTCCCCAGTCAATGTTGACTGGTTTTAGGCACGTAGCTGAAAGGCAGTTAAGGGGGTGAATTGCAGGAGAGACACATGTATGAAGCATGCCAGCAGCCCTGTCTGCAGAGCTTGGCAGGAGCTGTGCAGCATCTTGCTGGCTTCCTCACCAGGCAGTAGGCGCTCTCATTTCCTGTTCTCTTACAGGGCCAAATGCAACAACCGAACTGGCAGGGGCTTAAGTCTTCTGCAACACGTCACAGAGGATAACGATGTAACGAAAGCAGAGATCGGGGCTTGAAGAGGTAGGATGTATTCAAGAGTGGGGCAGTGGAGCGAGCAAGATGAGCCAACAGCCAGAGATGGCTAGCATCATTCACTAGAGATACCTTCCAAATAGCAGCAGGAGGAGCTGTACTGTCTGACCGGCCTCCCCCCCACCCTAGCCTGCTACTGGTCTCTGATGTCCCAGCTCTCAGCTGATGCCCTGCTTTCTGCTCATTTTGGTCTATTGCAATGAGAACTTTCCTGCAGGAGAGACAGCAGACCCTGCTGAGTCTTAGAAAGGCACAGGTGCGGCTGTTATACGGCAGGGCAGGGGCTCCAAGCCTGCCTGCCATGACGGTAAGTGCTACCTGAGACCCAGCCTCTGGATTCCCAGTCTAGTGCTGAGTGAAAACTCCCTGTCTGCTATTAGTTGCCTGAGTTTCCTGCCATATAAGAATTTACCTTTTGGAGTCCCCATGTTTCCCCTCTCTGTGTAATGTTGCTAAGGAACTCCCCACATTTGAATTGAATCTGTGCCTGGGCTGCAGGACCTGGTATGATGTATGATTTGCAACAGGACTCCACACACGCTTGTGGTATGGGAAAATGATATATGTGTGTGTGCAACCTGTATCCACCCTTACCTACCAAGCCTTCACTCTGTACAGGTACTAGCAATTCTGCATATGTATATAGCTAACTTGAACTCTGCTGTGCAGTTATTACTTTGGCTAGGCAAAGATGTGTTACATTTATTTATTATAATGCATTTGTTTAACTATGTAAAGATGTGTTACATTTGTTTATGCTGCATTTGTTTATATAAAGATGTGTTACATTTATTTATGCTGCATATGTTTAACAGTGTAAAGATGCCTCACATTCCTTTATGCTACATTTGTTTAATTATGTAAGGGAGTGTTGCTTTGTCTGTCTAAGGCACCTGTTGGTCTAATAAGAAAACCAACAGCTAGTCAGAGGAGAGATAAGTGAGGCTGGCAGGCAGAGAGAATAAGTAGGAGGAGAAATTAGGCTCCAGAGGAGAGGAGAGAGGAGAAAATGAGGGAGAAAGAAAGAGGGATGCCTGGGGCCAGGCAGTAGCTAGCCAGTCGGGCACAGAGTGGGACATATAGAACGAAAGAAAGGTAAAAAGTCTCAAGGTAAAATGTAGATGAAGAGAAACAGGATAATTTAAGTCAAAGAAAGAAAAAAAAAAAGCTAGCCAGAAATGAGCCTAAGATAAGGCCAAGCATTCACAGCTAATATTACATCTCTGTGTCATGATTTGGGAGCTGGTTCGAGGCCCAAGAGAAGAAAGCCTGTTTCAGAACTCCCCTACCACTAAGGCTTCAGAAACTGGAACAGGGCAAGGAGAGAGCAGGGTGGTTTAAGACCAGGGCACTCTCTCCATGCCGCTTGCCTGCCTGCTGGTATTCTTTGACTTAGGGCACAGTCAGTTTTAACTTTTTGTTTAAAGATTACTGTACATTTCAGGCAGTGACACATTGACTTTAGTGTGGGTTAAAGCCTGTTTATACTCTCCTTATTGAGATTTGTGTGCCAGGCACTGCCAACCATTTATTATTTATACAGTAGCTACACTGAACATTAACATTCCCATTTTACAGATGAGGATACAAGGCACAGAAGACTAAGGCAGCTGTCTAAGGCCACAGAGCTAACCCTTTCTTCTCACTGTCTCCAGAGTCCAACCCTTGGATTACACCATTCTTTCTCTTTAGTGTGGGATGGGGTGGTGCCTGCAGGAAAGCCTGCAGTGACATCATCTGCCTGCTGATGTCAGCTTCTCTGGCTCTCGGAGCAACTGGGTCCAGACTTGGAGGCCAAGGCAGAGGAGCCTCCAGAAACACTGGCTAGTGGCAGCTGAACTCCCTCTGTGGAGTTTGCTCTCCCCAGAACACATTCTTGCTGTTCTTCTTGTGGCACACACTCTCCTACAGGTGTCCTTGTCACCTGAGCATCTGGTCCTAACTCCAATCTGGCTGACAGCTATGGTAGGGCAGCTCTAGCCACAAAGTACCCCCAACAAAGCTTGTGATCAGCTGAGGTTGATCCAGATCTCCTCTGCAGGGCTCATCCTTTTCCACCAGCAACACTAGGTGGGAGAGGATAGCCAGGACCCTCAGTACACAGGTAAAACTGGCTTAGGTGTCTCAGTCATACCCCAAATTAGCAGAGTCCAACAAGCTGCTGTAAGCCTGACAGACAGGGCTGTCCAGTGGCCAAGCAGGCACCTATAAAAGTTGGTGTGCCTGGAGAGGGTTCTGTGAGGCTTGTTGGGAGGCTTTGGGCATCTTTCTGGAGCCACAGACAGTGGGGCATGCTGGCTTCTAGAGATGTTGTTTCATTCTAATTCTGTTAAAGGATACTCTAATCTATGTTTTAAAAACTCAACTAATGCTGGGCAGTGATAGTATATGCCTTTGATCCCAGCACTCGGGAGGAAGAGGCAGGCGGATTTCAGTGAGTTCCAGACTAGGCTAGTCTACAAAGTGAGTTCCAGAACAGCCAGACTGTTACACAGACAAACCATGTCT